AAATGGGAATCTCTGGGATGCTACCTGTGCATGCATATTCTGGGGAAACAAACTGCAGAGAGTCTGGCCCAAATGCCYGTTTAGGATCACAAAGACAAGGCATTTTCCTCAAACTTTTATTGCCCTGCATTTCCCTCTTATCAGCAGAAAAAGAATTTCAAYAATTACAAGGAACTAGAGAAGAACCAGGTACCAAAGTGTTACAATCAGAAGCATTATCAGCACTCCCAAAATAGAGGTTCAAAAACTTATTTCTGAAAGTTAGTGGGAACACTAACTGCATTTTCTTCACCACATTTTCATCTTCATATACGGGAAAGTGGGGGAAGAAAATGCAGTTAGTGTCAGAACTATCAGCCCTAATCAAAACTAGGGCTCATGGAAGACCGGTAACCTGCCAGTCAATATGGAAAAGAATCTTCAGGTCAGTGGGAAAAAGAACGAAAAAGAACCTTCAAGCAATCAGAGGCACCCCGAGTGGAATGGGCTGAAAGCGGATTCTCAATGAAGTTCTCTGAACCTGGATGACCCAAGTCAAAATTAGAGCATTGCTTCACTGGGTGTTGAAACCACAAATCCTAAGTATGTGCAATAGGACATCTGAAACAGGAATCACTGCAGTTGACAGGGGCCCAGTGGGTCAGTCCACTTATGAACTTCTGCAATACTGGCCTGGAGACTAGTTATAAAACTCCAGAAGTGGCCGGGCATGGTGGTACACATCTGCAATCCCATCAGCTCAGCAGGCTGAAATAGGAAGATYGMAATTTCAAAGCCAGCTTTAGCAACTTAGCAAGGCCCTGAGCAACTTAGCAAGACCCTGTCTCAAAATAAAATATTAAAAGGACTGGGAATGTGGCAGTGGCTAATCATCCCTGGGTTCCATCCCTGGTATCACAGGGAAACAAACAAACAATAAAAGACTAATAGTAAGAAAACAAAGAGAGCAAGCTGTCCACGCAATGCCAACTCCAGGAGTGAACCAGTAGCCAGCAGGGAAATGAATACAGATGGAAGAAGCTTCCTCCTCCCCATTCCAACCAAGGTATGATGGTCTCCTATTTTACTTTCCTAAGAAACACAACAGCCAGGCCTTTGTCACTGAAACAAAAGAATTATTAAACAATAACCAAAGACTCGCTTGAAGCATAGCATTGCAAACTCATAATCCCTACATGTTTAGCTACTATCATTTCACTAATTGACAAGAGTGATTTTTATTTTCAATGTGTAACGCATACAAAGACTGTATACTTTTACTCGAAAATGATTACTTGAGACAATGTTTTATAGRAAATAAATTTGTAATCAGTGTCTATTACTAGGGCTGCCTATAGTTCACACTGTTATGTGGCTTTGAGACAAAGCACAGCTTCTGAAAGAGTTTCAAATGTGTTTAATAAAACTGGCCCCACACTTTTTAGTAAACCACATTTTTTTTTTGGTGGTGCTGGGGATCGAACCCAGGGCCTTGGGCATGCGAGGCAAGCACTCTACCAACTGAGCTATATCCCCAGTCCAACACTTTTTTAATATATTTTCCTTTAGTTGTAGAAGAGCACAATGACTTTATTTATTTATTTTTATGTGGTGCTAAGGATCAAACCCGGTGCCTCACGTGTGATAGGCGAGCGCTCTACCTCTGAGACATAACCCCAGCCCTCAACCACATTTATATGAACAAAGTTTTCTCTTGCAGAACTTTAAAGGAGTTTGAAAATTTCTTGAAGGCAGAGTTGGTGTCATACTTCTCTGTTCCCCTTGGGGCCCACTTTCATGGTGGCTCCTACATGAGAGGCTCTTTTTCATGTTATTTGCAGATTGATATATGGCCATTTTGGGTCACCTCAGGAATTTACTTATGATTCCATCTAATCTCCCACTTTTGTCTTGATCCCATAATGTCTGGTGCAGATGAGAATAATGGTGAAATAAAAAAATGTTCTAAAGGTTTCTAAAACTCCAATGCACAATATTTTATTTAAGCCTCACAACCAGCTCAGGTAGACTGGTTGACTTCTTTATCATTATCTTCATCATCCCTAACAGCAGTATTGTAATCAGCTCCAAGTTAAAGAGGAGACCAAGAGAAGAGAGTCTAATGAGATTGCCAAAGATCACTCAGCTCCTACATGGCACAACAAGGATGTGAGCCAGCTACACTGGCTCCAAAGTCCATGGGCTTAACCACTTCACTACCATCCCACAGGGAATACCCATCGCCACACCTGTAAAAACCTGAAAAGTTAAAGCAATAAAACATTAGTTCAAATAGAGGACAGCAATAATCTCCCTGTAATCATATTGTGTAGGCTGAAGCCAACAGAGGATGTCCCTTCTCTTCTGAGGGTATTGACCTACGGGTTACTTATAAAGAGAAAGGCACACATACACCAAAAGAGAGACGGAGGGAGGGAGGGAGGGAGGGAGAGAGAGAGAGAGAGAGAGAGAGAGAGAGAGAGAGAGAGAGAACTTCAGGGGATTATTCCGAATAAAAAAAATTATTAGCACCTCAATGTGCTCAGCATTGAGAGTGGGTCAACCCCCAAAATAAAACATTAAGTAGCCACTGAGGATTATGGTTTTCATGACACACACACAAAAAATATTTACTGTGAAAAGAGGAAAAAAGCAACATAGAAAAGTCTGATGAGATAGTATGTGATGTCAAGTGCCCACAGCGGTCTCTAGAACATATGTTGTTATGTAGCAAATAAATCTAAATACACGAAAACCATGAGAAGGAGACATGGCAAATTAGCAATGCTTGCCTCTGGGTAAGAATTAAAAGAGTTTGCTTTCCAACAACTTTATATTTTTTAATGTCCTCCTTTCTTTGTCCTATAGTAATGATTTTTTCACTTTAGACTCAGGAAATAGAGAGCTGGCATGTAGCTTGGTGGCTCAGCATTTGCCTGGCCTACACAAGGCATGAGATTCTTCGCCAGGACCATTAGGGAAAAAAAAAAAAAAAAGTCTTCTTTCAGTCTTCACATTGTAGGAGCTGACCTGCAAGAAGAGGGAGATTCCCAGCCTACACATATTTTTCTGTCAACAGGGGGTGGCTGTTACCAGCAACTACTAAAGCCTGCCCTGAGGTAAGCCTGGCTACTGGCAGTGCCAGATGGATACACAAACTCCCTGAGTCTAGAACCATGCTGAGAATGTGAGGTGAATATCACAGAGAAGCAGGCACACCGCATTCTGCAGGCTGAAGCTTTGTTAAGAAATATTCCAAATCTGTGCGCCATGGTTTGTTTTCAATCAAACGGAGAATGTTTTATGGTAGGAACATCATTAAAGGTGTCATGACTTTCTGTGATTATAAAAGTGTTGACAGATACTAAACAAGTGACATTCAGAAAGTAGTAATTCTTCATGATTAAAGTATTTACACAGTTTACTGTTTGTGATACCCACTAAAGCTATACACGCTTTTCTGTAGTTATTCTAGCCTTAAGTGTTCAGGATCCACTTAGTGACAATTATGACTCAAGATGTGGTTCTCTGGACTAAAACCACAGGAATGCTTGAAGGCGGCCAAGTTTTCCAAGTGMACTGTTTGACTGATTGAGTATTTATTAGCATTCAAATGAGGGAATGATTGGGGCCTGGGTGATTCCTGCCCCCATCCAAGCTTTAGGCTGGGAGCCCATTTGTCCTTTTCCTGTCCAGACAGGCCTATCCCTGACAGAGCCAGACAGATGTTAAAAGATAATACATAGAAGGGTGGCTGTGGGGACTTAACAAACCAAAAACCTTTTAAAAAAATGCTTGCAATCACTGCTCCAGGATGAAGAAAATGTACCCTATATTCAAAGATCTTTAAARTCTATACTAAAAAAGTCATAAAGTTGAAAGGAAACTGCAGAAGATAATATTTAGGGCACATTTTTCTTGTAAAATACCTTTTACCTTCTTATAACGATAAACACTGCTAGTCCAGACCTTAAATGCTAAGGGCACTCATAGACTTTGACAGAAGTCTCAGATACTTAAAGTTTCAGAACAAATCTTTCATCAGACTTATTTATTTATTTATATAWTTTTTTTTTCATTGAGCCTCCAAAAACAGTTATCATGAAATTCTTAGCTTTGAAGCATTCAATTTCACTGAACTCACTTCACCTATAAAAGTCAATGACCCCAGTTAGGGCAGGCCTAGCAGCTTGTGGAAGGAGCTAAGCAATTGAGTCCAAAGACAGGAAAACTTGAGGGTTTCAGCAATTATTAATCATATGGAAGTTCTTTTTCAACAATAATTGATAWAAGCCTAACGTGCTAAATATTTGAATTTTGTAGCTTGAAACTTATTAAAGTCAATCATTTAACTAGTCCTTTTTTTTTTTTTAATGACACAGCAGTAGAAAGTATTTTGCAACAAATTTTAGAAAAGTATGTTCAGCTCAGAAAGATGTTTTTATGGAAGCAAGAAATGGAGAAGACATGATCTTTCATAGGCACTACTTTCATTATTTTCAAGCCACTTTTAACATATGCTATGCACATCTACGTGTATGTGTTCATCATCTAGGTGAGTGTCTGGGCTCTCCTAAAAGAGAAAAATGGTAAACGTGCATTTCATTGATCTTTTCAGTCAACCTCAAAGAATGATCCTCTATACTCTGCGTAAGAATTAACAAGTAGCCAATTCAGAAACTCAGCTTCAAAATTCAAAAGATCATTTTTTAAAAACTAGCTGCAAGGATAGGTATTAATAAAATTAAGGATTAAGCTAAACATCTGAAGTGTATCTTTTAGAAAATGGAATTGTTTTACTTAAAATAAATGATCACAAACCTCATAACAATTGTATCAATATTGTCCCTATGATATTACAATTAGAAAATTTTCAACAAGTTTTAGAAAGAAAAAAATTAATATATGAAACCCTGAAGGTAACAGAATTATTATACTTTTGTACTAGAAAATCATGAATGATTATCTATCCAGTAAAATTGCCTCCAAGCCACATAACTAGTTTTTCTCAGCATTTTTTTAAAAATAAGGAATGCTTTAGAAATCTGTTTCATCCATGGGCAGGGACCATGCTGATCTCTGTAGTGTTCCAACTGCAGCATTTTAACTAATTTATCTCAGCAGAGTTAAATATAAGCCTTTTTTAATTGTATACTTTTTTGTACAAAGTACAGGCTTAAAGTTAAATTTCAAAAAGTTCAAAATGAATAAATGAATGAATAAAAGGTTTTCTAAAAGACCCTGATATTCCAATATACTAGGAATAAAGAAACATAAAACTAAAAATCATGAATGATCAAGAAGAAATGAATCATGACAGTCAGGCATGGTGGCACACACTTACAGTCCTAGCAACTCAGGAGACTAAAGCAGGAGGATTGCAAGTTCAAAAACAGCCTCAATAACAGAGCAAGACCCTATTTCAAAATTAAAAAGTAAAAAGGTGTAGGGATATAGCTCAGTGATACAATGATACAATACCCCTGGACTCAATACCCACCCCCCCAAAAAAAATAAAATAAAAAAGAATTGAACCGTAACAAACACATAGGTGTGAACTCAGATAAGACTTATATTGTCCTATGTTTGGSGGATGACTCTTGTACAACAAACTTAAAATTACAAATTCTTTTTTTGTTTTTACTAGCAGGCAAAGCTTTTTTAAAARGGGGTAATCTACCTATAAAATAAATCATTGGAGATGCTGTTTTTAAAAAAAGTTCTCTGATGCGGTGGCGCACACCTGTAATCCCAGCAGCTTGGGAAGCTGAGACAGGAGGCTTCAAGGAAGAAGAGCCCRGACACTCACCTAGATGATGAACACACATATACATAAATAGGAAGCAAGACCCTAATTAACTTAGCAAGACCCTATCTCTAAATAAAAATAAAACTAAACTGAAAAAGGGCTGGGGATGTAGCTCAGTGGCTAAGCACCCCTAGATTCAACCACCAGTAAACCCCCATTCACAAAAAATCTTCTGAATACCTACTTCAACATTACACATAAGTACCTGCTGGTATACAAGAATATAGAAAAGAAATTAAGTTATGTGCCTTAACATTACAATAAAGCCAATCTACGTTTTCATTCAGATTGCCCAGGGTTATCAACAGGAATGATGTATGTGGTATAGGTAACTTTTCTAAGTAAATGCCTGAACTCACCTAACAAAGATAAATGGAAAGCAAATGGAAGGAGGTAGATTTGAGGTAGGGCATAAGAAAGAGAGAGCTGAAGCAAATCTTGTGGACTGATGTCTGGTTCCTGTTAATAAAGGGCAGAACAGCTCACCTGTCCCTATATAAGAAAAATTAAGCAAATCATCAAGGCAAYTTTTGGATAATTAATTTCAGAAAATTAATTATCTGGACCTAAAATATTCCAGATCACTGATGAGAAGATGAATTCTTGAATTGTCATAATAGTGCCATACTATTAGTTTTACTTTCTTGGCTATCAACTAATCAGACAGCTATTCTATGCCTTCCTAAGTATTTCCAAGTCTMCATCTTGTTCATAGCTTTTCCACTACCTGAGCTGAAAGACTCTCCTTTTCAAGGAATAATGCAAAGCAACTCTTGGATACAGAGTGGTCAACTTTAGAATTGGATCCCTAATGTACCATAACAGTTTTGGAAACATCAAAATAAATACAAGAAGCAATTTTCAGGATACCACAAAATTGCTAATTTAACAAGACATCCTAAGTAAAGATTTTTTTCACCATATAGTAACAAATGCAAACACATAGAAATGGATAATATAGTTACAAAACTATCTAAGTTAAGGTGGCTCTTATCCTTGGGAATCAGAACCAAGGATGGCAAGAATATAGATCATTTCTTTACTTTCTTTTTTTTTCTTTTTCTTAACCACTGAGCCATATCCCCACTCATTTATTTTTTTATTTTGAGACAAGGTCTTTGTTCAGGGCCTCCCTAAGTTGCTACGGCTGGCTTCAAACTTGCGAACCTCCTGCCTCAGCATCCTGAGCCACTGGGCCCAGCTATACATCATTTCTTGAAAGTTACATGAAAGCTCAAATCGAAGTTCCCATACAACTTTTTTAATTATTTTCAAGGATCACAACATAGACCACATTTTCCTTTCTATACATTTTCTGGCTTTTTGCTCTTAACCTACCACATATGACACCTATATCCCAGTGATTTCTAAAATTTACTGGATGACACACTGAATTCCTCACACTTAAGACTTTTAAATCTTGGGCTGAGGATGTGGCTCAAACGGTAGCGTGCTCACCTGGCATACGTGCGGCCAGGGTTCGATCCTCAGCACCACATGCAAAGATGTTGTGTCCGCCAAAAACTAAAAAATAAATATTAAAATTCTCTCTCTCTCTCTCTCTCTCTCTCTCTCTCTCTCTCTCTCTCTCTCTCTCCTCTAAAAAGACTTTTTAATCTTAAAAATATTAAGAACTGTGAGTCTCCAAAGTAGGTGGCAACAATATAACGAGTATAGTATGGACACAGTATTTTCCTAGACAGCTGACCCAAGCCATATTTGCTGTAATGCTAATAATGACTAAATGAAACTCTGGCCTATTCTGTTCTGTGGCCATAGGCTGCACTAATTTCCAGCAATCTTTCTGGAAGATGCATGCAGTACATTACAGGTGAATTTAAGGGAGCAATTCAAAGCAATTCTCATTACAGGAAAAGTAATGACCTAGTACTATGCCTTCATTTGAAAAGTCTCATCAGCCTTATATTGCTATCTTTTGAATAAAATACTAATATAACATTATAATGCTCTTTCTAGTTCTTGAATCCTGAAATTGTACATTCTGTGACTTTCCAAACCTCATATGGAAGAAAGAATATAYAGATGAGTAACTCCTTTTAAATTCTTACCATTTTTTCCTTTGGTAAAATCAAATTTGTGAATAAAAAGTTTTCCTCTGCAAGGACAAAATTTAAATCTAGAAATGTCTATCTCCTAACTTTATAACATAGAATACGAATTTAAAAACAATAAACTCCTTATAACCATCACCACAGTCAGAAAGAGAGCAGAAAGTCAGAAAAAGTACAAAGCACTGAAAGGCTGGATGTGTGAAGGRTGCCAGGAGAGGGGGGAGGGTTTCAGGAGGTTCTAGGCAAGCCCTCTGATGACGTCACCTCACATACATAATGTTACAGCAGTCAGCACAGGCCTCCTGCTTTCTTATTGGAGAACACTGTGTCAGCCGACATCAGAAGATAATCATCATTGGCTAGACAATTACAACCGGAGCAACTAGCATCCACTGTTGTTAGCACAAACCTGGCAGGCTGCTGAAAGAGGAGAAAGCAGAGCCTGGCTTTCCCTCTCACTCAATGAATTTTATGTTGCCTTACCAATCTTTTTCCCTTGCTAGCAGCACTTACGAAGTCAGCTATTAGTGAGAATAACAGGTAAAGGCCAGACATCTCATAAAAGAACAACGTGTCTCTATTTTCAATGCTGTAAAATCACAAGGGCTTTTCAGTGTAAAATTGGAACTCAAAAACACTACTTGGAGCTAAAAGCAGGCAATTTCCTCTACCTCATGTAAGAAACTTTCACCCAGATAATATTACTCAAGATATTTGTAACTGGACATGTAGTTTTAGGATGTGCCTCAGGATGATTCTTCAGGGATATACTTATTACTTCCCATTTTTTGCTAATTTATTATATATGAAACTATTTAATACAAAAATAAATTTTTTTTGTATGTAGTGCTGCAGATCAAACCCAGTGCCTCACACATGTGAGGCCAGCACTCAGCCACTGAGCTACAACACCAGCCCCTGATACAAAAATGTTTAAAACCTACAGTATTCACTTCATGTCTAGGCCAATGAATATCAGTTTAAACATTAAAGCAATAAACTTGATAGACTTGTGTCAGTCCAACCCTTTAAAATATATAAAAACACCACTTCAAAAATAGGGCCCCATTCCCTGAATGTTTGCTAAGTTAGCAGGTCGGAATTATAGAGTGTGTTTAACAAATTCTTACTCTAGATCCTCTTGAATGATGCTGGTTAGCACAGCCAAAATACAGGCAAAGCACCATTYCTGGCCCTTCTCACAATTCTTCAAAAGCCTGTTGAGCTCATTTATGACAGAAACATTCTAATTCCCTAAATTAGTAAGTTTTGTTTGAGGCTATGTCTAAGATTTTTAATGACAATTACAAATAAATTCTCAAAAGACAAGGTAGGGGGCTAGCGTTGTGGCTGAGGGGTAGAAGGCTCACCTAGCACATGGGGGGTTCTGGGTTAGATCCTCAACACCACACAAAATAAAATAAAGGTATTGTGTCCAACTATAACTAAAAAACAAAATATTTWAAAAAAAAAAAGACAGGGTAGAAGCTTCTCTTCATGGTGTTTTTCTTCCAGAAGTTATTTTAAACCATTTTAAGAGAATGGGTCTGAGAAAGTTAAGATTCTGTAGTTTCCTAAAATTTCCCCCTCCCCAAAAGGGTCTATGCCCTTCTGTTAACAAAGGAAATTCTTTTTTAAAAATCTTAATTTTTTTCTTATACACCTATCTGAAGATTTTTTTGGCTGTTTTGGGGGTAAAGACAGTTCTAAAATTGGACCACCAGGATACTGGGAGAAATGCACTGGGGTAAAAGGAGAAAGCAGGACAATTAGTGTCAAGAAGAGTTACAAGAAAGGTGTAACTGCCAGCAGGGCTCTTGGACTGTAATATGCAATTCACGAACATAAAATTAACAAACAAGGCAGCAGGAAGGGAAAAATCACAAACTGATTATAACATGGTTTGAAAATGCAAGGGAAGGACAAGCATGTTAAATCTTGGATATATTTTGATTTAAATCACTGGATAAGCATTTCCCAGGCATCTATCAGGTGCTTTGAAACATCAAAAATGGAATAAAGATTGTACCCTAAAGATCTGATGGTCTGGTAGAGGGCACGAATATAAATTTATAAGTACCAGGAAAAGATATTGCCAGAAGACAGATAAAGAGCCAGGAGGAAACAGTGGTAAGGGCTTAACAGGCAAACAGATTGGTGCATTTTTTGCTATTTTCAGTCCTGTGAGTACTAATTCAGCGAACGCAGAGAAGTGGCGGGAAATGGTCCTGGGACAGGCATAGGAAGTGGCCTTAGAGAAAAAGCAACAAATAAGAGGCAGTATCGACCGCGGTGGTGTAAGGAAGGGCTAACAGTGAATGGAATCAGCCGGCAGGGCAAGGGGAAGCCGACTCCGGAAAGGCAGAGCCAACCAGGAGGCACCCAGTCATGAGCACAGCAARCATTAAAAAATGTAGAGCACACGGGGCTACTGGAGGAGAAAGACAGGCACAAGGAGTGCAGCAAGAAAAGGTACGAAAAACGGCAGCAGAGAAGACCTGAGCCCTAAGCCGGCCAGGAGCTCTCTCCCGCCGTCCGCCGGCTTGGGTCACCGCCCCCTCCCAGCCTTCAGCGCCACCCTCTAAGCGGGAGGAGGAAGTGCAACTAGGGAAGCACCCAGGTGGCAGGGCACGAGGGGGCTCGGCTTCCCCGAAATGCCCCGGTCTCCTAACATCTCATCTACAACGACAGCCGGAGTCGCGGTATACAACCTCCTTCGGACCCAGCCCCGGGGATCTCTGCCTTGGTGGCCTGGGAAGGCACCTAGCCCCCCACCCCGTGCCTGCTGCATTTCCCGTCCTTCTTGGCAGCTCGCGCTCCCCTGGTAAAATACAGTGTGACCGGACGCAGCCCTGGGGCCTTCGGCCCACGGCGCCCACCAGCCACGCCGCAGCCCGCTGCAGCCCGAGTGAGCACGCGGCGTCCGCCCCCGGGCAGGCCCAGCCCCGCTGGCGCGCGCGGGCAGGGGGAAGGCTCCGCCCGGATGCGGCCGCAAATGGCCAGTGGGCCCGTGGCCGACGGGCTGAAAACTAAGGCTGCACGCCTGCCMGGAGGTGAGAGGAGAGTAGCAGCCGTGCCTTCAGACTCCGATTTGCGACTCCGAGGGGGCTGAGAGAGAATAAGTTGAACCCCTTACCGGAGGCAGTGGCCCCGAGGCACCCCCTCCCACTGCACCAGCCCGCCCCTGCCCGGAGCGCGCYGGCGTCTCCAGTTTCCCATTGATGAGCGGAGGGAGGGAGGGAAGGCAGATTCTGCACGCGGCGGCGGAATCTCCCAGCGCCCCGGGTCCCCTAGGGTAGGACCCTCCACTCTCAAGCCCCAGGAGGCGGCCGGCCACTGCCCAGCTACGGGGAACGTTTTGCTTGCACTTTACAGAAAGCCAGACCCTGGATTAAGGGAAGGAGGGAAACGTCTGCCACAGCTCAGTCTAAGAGGAAGAAGCAAGCTGAGTACAACCTCCCCTGTTAAATATTGCAAGGTGACACAGGATCGCCTCCCACACAGGGATTTTCAAAAGGACTAGGGGAGGAAACACAGTAAACAGGAAAGATGTTTTCCCGAGGTGAAGTTTTTTCTGTGTAAGATCTCCCAAGGACTCTTCAGACCGAGGGGTTTCTAATCTGTGTGCCTGAACTCCCAACAGCAGCTTCGCACTGAATTAGRAGTGAGTGTGTCCAAAAGGCGTTTCCGTAAAACAGAAACTTAATAATGGCGTGGCTCCACTCGTTCGGGTTCATTCATTTTTATTACAGTTTTCATTGTCCCCTCCTCTCCGCCCCTCCACCCCCAGTCTCTTTATGAAACCGGAAAGGGATCCGCGTGGGGAAAGGGGTCCTAGAAAGGAGGCATCCGGCTGGGGAGCGGCAGACAGAGGAGAGCAGTGAAGTAGAAGAGCTGCAAGGAGAAAGGAAGGACACCAGGGATGGGGAGAAAGCAAGGACCAGAGCCGAGGGCGGCGGGCGGGAGAGGGTTAAAGAGAGCCAGCGATAGGGTCCTCCCTCTCCATGGCTTTGCACAGTTCGGTTGCAAGAGGCCAAGCAGGGGAAGAAAAAAAAAAAAAATCCCAAATCTAGATAAAAGCCAGGAGGTAGCACAGGTGGGGAATCCGGACTGTGGCATCTCTCTTGCCTTCCCTGTCGCGCAGACATCACTCCTGGCACACATATATGTTCTATGTTATATAATCTATATAAAGATGCCTGCTTAGTCGCGGTTCACACAGGGCACCCACCGACCTCGCGCTCAGGCAGCCCCAGTGTCTCGCAGACCTAGGAACTCCGCGTTTGGCTAGCTGCTGCCCGCGATTCACCGCTCCATTCACGCCCAGACAGGGAAATACCGACATGAATGCACTCCAGGGAGACGCACAGGGCTCCCGGGAACAGTATCACGCGAAAGCATCACCTACCAGTTTTCCTGCATCCATTGGATCGCTTCATTCTCGTTGAACTGCTTTTCGAATTCATATTCTTGTAAAGTCAACACTGACATGTTCATTGGGGCTGATCTTCGGAGTCCCTACGTGTTCTCTACACAAAATAAAATAATCTGTAAAGCGCTTGATTTCGAGTGCTCTCCTGTCTGCTTCCCCCACCCACCCCCCGAGGTCTTCCCCGGCCTCTCAGTCTCCGGCAGTCGAGCTCTCTCCCAGCCTCCTCTCACAGCTACATCCAGGGTTGAGCATTGCCTGTGCCACGGCTCCCCGGTCCTCGCTCTGGGGTTCTCCTCCTCCCGGCGTCCGCATCCACCGTAGGAGGAAATGAATGCCTTGCGGTCTTAGTGCCCGCACGTTTGTCCATCACGCTTTTTACTCGTCTACAGGGAAATCTCCTCCCCCTCATGCGATCGGAAAATTAACCCCTTGCCCGGGAAGGCGCGAAAGAGCGAGACCTCTCCCCGCCCAGGGGGGCAGTTTTGTGGACGCGAAGGTGGCTGGAGGAGTGGGGGAAGGGCACGGAAAGGGAGGAAGTGCCCTGGAGGTCACCCACAAACCTCAGTCCCCAACCTCGTGGGCCTTTTTGCCCTCCCTGTAAATGAAGTTTCGGCGTGCGGAGCTCAGCCCGGAGGCGCGTGGACCCACGAGCCTGGAGAGTAAACAATTGGGAAATAGTAAAACCTGCCAGCTCGCTCTTGCAGGAGAACTCCAGGCTGCTCTCGGATCGCACGTGAAGGGAAGGCAGGTCTACCTCCGCGACCCCGGGGGACCCTCCGGAACCTCCCCCAGCCCCACCCGGGAGCTCTGGCTTTGACTCACGTTTTCCAGGGGCCGGCTGGCCCGCAGAGCTCTTCAATCGCGTGCAGACAGGGGATGCTGAGGATGAGGACGGTCGAAAGTCAAAGGAGACTAGGAGCCGGAAGTGGGAGGAAGAGCAGAGGGGCATAGGTGGAGGTTTGGGTTAGGGGAGAGGGATCATTAACGAACAGAGGCAAAGGAGGAAAGGGACTTAGCATATAGAACTGGACCAACTGGTCCCATGCAAAAACTTTATTTGTATGCATGAGTAATTTTGCTTTATTTATTATACATGTAGGTAGAACAGAAGAATAATGCTTGAGGAGAGGGCTGAATGTCATGTTGACCACAGCTGAACCCCCGCATCCTCATTTTAACCTCAACTTCCACACACACTTCCCTTTCTTTGCCTGGAGAGAATAATATTTTCTGCTTCCTAGGTCCCCTCATTCATTTCCCAGCAAAAGTTGGGGGAAATGAAATATGAGACATGGAAGTGTAATAATCTAATATTGGATATAATAGTAAACAAAAGTAAATAGTAATCAGCAACCCATGCATTTAACCTTAGGTACATATTAGGACCAGGAACACAATTTCTTTTCTCTGGTGTCCATTTACCCCACTTACCAAGTAGGCTGAAGAGGGGGTATTTTATTTAAACTTAGGTGCCCCTAATCTCTGAAAAGTGGGAACTGAGATAAATATCTCTATAAGAGGAAGGTAGAAGAAATTAAAGAAAGAGGGTTTAAAAAATTTCAATATAATGTTACATAAATCAAAGGGCTAGACTTGATGATTAGCATATTAATATATAAGTTTGACACACCTAAAGATCCACTTACAGACTTTATCTCTGGAGTTAAGACCCAGACCAAAACACTAGGCAAAATTAGGCTCAAAGGTGGGTGTGGTCAGATGAAAGATAAAAGATTTTAGTATAGTGCCTGGGCCTACAAGCAATCCATCAATATTTGTGAGGTGAATGGATGATTGATTAAATAAATGAAAGAAATTAGGGAAATAAAAAAGGAATCGAGACTAAGAAAATCCAGGAAAGGCCTCATTGTCCGTTGCAAGGAAAGAATTCCTTTTGTCTAAGAAGAGTTCAGTTTTTAAATTCATTATTCTTACTAGTCATCATAGAAATTTCCAAGTAATTTGAGAAATTCACATTTTTTTTATCATGGTCCTTATTCATATAATGTCTCTTGCTTATGTTCCAAAGATGGATTTGGGATTATGTTTAAATTATCTGAATTGGTCTTACCTATGTTAAAAAGAAAAAAAAATGTTCCAAAATGAGAGATAAGTTCCTATCTTGACCTTTCAAGAGGACAGTTCTAAAAAATGATGAATGCTTGTTAGAATAAAGAAATCATTCACAACAGGCATGGTTATTGGTGGTGAAAACTGGTGATTTCGGGGCTGGGGATGTGGCTCAAGTGGTARYGCGCTCGCCTGGCATGCGTGCGACCCGGGTTCGATCCTCAGCACCACATACCAACAAAGATGTTGTGTCCGCCAAGAACTAAAAAAAAAATAAAT